AGATTGTTTGGGGGGCTGGAGAGATGGCTCAGTGGTTAAGAGCACTGACTGCTCTTGCAGAGGACCCAGGTTCGATTTCCAACACCCACATGGTAGCTAACAACCATCTATAACTTCAGTTCCAGGGAATCCGGTGCACCTACCTACATGCAGGCAATACACACATACACCTACAAATAAAAGTAATCTTTAAAAATTTATTTGGGGCAATGGGGAGGTGAGATGTTTTAAATAAAAGGAAAACTAAACTAGAATTACTGTCTACCTCAATGAAGAATGAAGGAAATGGACCAGGTACTCTAAAGCTATTGAACTATTAACTCTACTAAGAAGCTGAGTTTTTGGAAAAGATAAAGGTTGTGCTAAAAACTCAGTGTCTATAATATCAAATGTAATTGATTCTCGTTATGATTACAGTGTATCCATCTCAATCCAAACATGCAAGTGATAAAATCCTACCTGCTTGCTGTAGTCCTGTAGTCTACTTTCCATCGATGCTAATTTTTCTTGTAGCTGGCAGACTTCCTCCTGAAGTTCTTGAATTCTGAAACATGTTTATAACTAATGTCAACAGATATATAGCGTTTTCTTAAGAAAGATAAAATAATAAAATGTGAAAGTAGGTAGTTGTTTTTTAAAACCCCTACTTCCGCTGGGCATGGAGGTGCACGCCTTTAATCCCAGCACTCAGGAGGCAGAGGCAGGCGGGTCTTTGTGAGTTCAAGGCCAGCCTGGTCCACGTAGTGAGTTCCAGGACAGCTGGGGCTACAGGGAGACCCTGTCCAAAAAATACCAAAAAAAAAAAAAAAACCCACAAAAAAAACAAAACCGTATTTCCTGCTTATCAATAGGGATGCAGTGCTCTGCCAAAGGGGCCTAGAGCATAATCATAAACGTGGTACGTCACCTTGGAGAGTTAAATTTGTAAGAGCAGACACCAAAATTGAGGGGCAAGTAATTTAAAACTCAAATACACTATTCAATAAACACCTCACAATAGAACAACTTTTTAAGGTGCAGCTACCAGTTTTTATGCTCAGGAAAGTGGGTCAGTTCAAAACTCACAGCACTGCTAAGTAAAATAAGGGATGGAGCTGTTTCCTGACCCCAGCTAACCATATATTGTCTAATAAACTATTCTACAATTCTGGAAAGACAAATATTGAGAAAACTGCAATTTTCTAAGTGACTACAGCAAAAACTTACCTTTTCTAGAATCTGTGAAGTCTAACAGAAGCAAGATTTTTGTTCAAATTATCTGAGTTCTGCAAGTATCTGTATTGCACTACCTCAATATGACATAACCCATTCTTTTTTTAATATTTTACTTATTATATGTGTATGAGTGTTTTGCCTGAATGTATTTAAGCGTACCCATGTCGTGCAATGCCTGTGGAGGTCAGAAGAGGGCACTGGATTCCCCTGGAACTGAAGTTATGGATGGCTGTTAACTGCCATGTGGATGCTGGGAATTGAACCCAGGTCCTCTGCAAGAGAAGCCAGTGCTCTTAACCACTGAGCCATCTCTCTGGCCCCCATATAACCCATTCTTGACTGAAGTCAATATGACATAATCCATTCTTAACTGAGTTTTAAGCACAATTTCCCATGAGCTGGAGTAACTCACAATTTCCCATGAGCTCATCCCAACTCTTGCCGGAATCAGGAGTGACTCTGGATGCAAACAGCATGTGTGTCCAAATCAAAGCAAACAACCAAAAAACACTGATGGGACTTCTGCGTTACAACAATTCTTTAATAGGATCACACTGCCTGATTATAACTTTAACAGAAAAAGTAAAACACAAAAGGTCAAGGTAGCCATATTCATACTGTGAATAACAGTAGAAGAGAGGTGTGTATCTGTACAGAAGAAGAGGTGTGATGTGCTCCTCGTCAATATTTCAATCAAGTCTTTTTAAAATTATTAATAAGCTGAAAAGTCTCCTCCATATTAATCTCTACATAATATATAAAGTAGTTATCTGCAGTATTTCTGCCAGTATATCCCATAGCTTTGAATGGTCCCCCAGTGTCACTCACTTACTCTCAAACCTCTTACAATTTTCATAGTGGTATGCTGTTATTTCTCCTGTCTCACTTCCATCACTGGACTGCAAACATTTCCAAAGCATCAACACCATCTCACTCATTAACTGTCTCAGGACATTTCGTCAGAGCCTTGAGCAGGAGGCTTAACAATATTTAATTAAATGGAATTTATATCTGATTCCAATTTACATTTAAGGAACTATAAATATAGAGCCAGAGAACTCATGAGATAAGAATTTCAGATCAAGGTATAAATCTAGTCATATCCAGCTGGTATATGATATAAATCTGAAAAAGTAAAGAATCCAGTAAAAGATAACCTACGTAGAGAGGAATCTAAATGTCTAAGCAGCTCTACTGAAATAGTTCTTAATAGTACTACATTATTTTAAGTACAGGCAGAAACCTCAGACACATCTTATTTGAAATCAAAGTTTTAAAACAAGCAACAATTCTACATCATTCTGAAAATATTTATTGAGTGCCTGTGCAAAGTTCTGTGTTGGAGGGGATACAACAATTAACAAGACAAAAGCCTTCCCACCAAGCAACTTATAGTGACCCAGTGATCAATAAAGTTAAAAAAGATTAGTAGTAGTAGTAGTAGCAGTAGTATTTTGGTGTTGGGAATTGAACTCAGGCTTCCGCTCTACCACTGAGCTACACATGCAGCCTTGACAAAGAATCATTTAATGCACCTGTTATCAGCCACCTGCAGGAGGTCTGCAATGTAGGGGTCTTCTGGCTGGGGAACTGGGTAAGAACTGACTTCAGAGGGAGGTGCTGGCTCATCAATTTGCATACGCTGACGCCTAAAAGCAATGCTTCTTTTTTTGCCACCTAAAAAAAAAAGTAGTTCTTAAAAAACTAAAGAGAAACAAAATACTTTTCTAAGTATTAAATATCACCGTGTGTCTCTAGATCATATTACATGATGATAAAATGTTTAATATGTAAATATTAATCCTCATCTGTAACTAAATATTGTATTCCTGAAAAGCTTACTGAGACAAGGCTATAAAACAAGTTTTCTATGTCTGCATGCTTGCATACACACCCAGATTTAAACTGTTCCTCTACTAGATTAGATTTTGGTAGGTTTGAAATCTAAGTGTGTTTTGTGGTGGTCAATATGAGCTAAAAATCATCACTATCAGAAAAGCTGTCAAATGAGGAGCATGGGCAGTGAGAGCTAAAATCCACAAGCTTTGTTTTTTTAAAATATTTTATTTATTATTTTTATTTTATGTGTATGAGTGTATTGCCTGCATGTATGTGAGTGCACCCATGTCGTGCAATGCCTCAGAGGTCAGAAGAGGGCTTTGGATTCCCCTAGAATTAGAGTTAAGGATGGTTCGTAGCTGCCATGTGGGTGCTGGGAATTGAACCTGCATCCTCTGCAAAAGCAGTCAGTGCTCCTAACTGCTGAGCCATTTCTCCAGCCCCAATCACAAGCTTGTTAAGCAATGTCGAGAGCTGATGACTAGGAGCTGGGGAGATGGCTCTATCAGTAAAGTGCTTGCCACGCAAGCATGATGATCTGAGATCGATCTCCAGTACCCATGTAAAAAAATCCGGCACTGGGGCTGGAGAGATGGTTCAGTGGTTAAGAGCACTGGTGCTCTTCAAGAGGACCCGGATTTGATTGCCAGCATTCACATGGTGGCTAACAACAACCTGTAACTCCAGTTCTAGGGGATCCAATGCCTTCCTCTGACCTCCACAGGCATTACACAACATGAGTGCACTTACATACATTCAGGCAACACACTCATACACATAAAATAAAATAATAAATAAAATATTACGGGCTGGAGTGATGGCTCAGTGGTGGTTAAGAACACTGGTTGTTCTTGCAGAAGACCCGGGTTCTAATCCCAGAACCCACATGGCAACTAACAACTGTCCGTAACTCCAGTTCCAGGGGATCCGACAGCCTTTTCTGTCCTCCACGGGCATTGCACAACACGGGTGTACTTACCTACACGCAGGCAATACACACATACACATCAGATAAAAATAATTAAAAAATATGTGTATATAAAAAAATCCAGCACCAGGGCTGGAGAGATGGCTCAGCAGTTAAAAACACTGGCTATTCTTACAGAAGACCCAGGTTCAAATCCCAGCACCCACACAGCAACTAACAACTGTCCGTAACTCCAGTTCCAGGGGATCCAACGGCCTCTTCTGTCTTCCATGGGTATTGCATGACATGGGTGCACTTAACTACACGTAGGCAATATACTCATACACATAAAAATAATAAAAAATTTTTAAAAATCCAGCACCATGCCTGTAATCCTAGAACTGAACAGGGGGAGAAGAGGATCCCTAAGGGGTTGCTAACCAGTCTATCTAGCTGAATAGGCAAGTGCAAGGTTCAGTGAGAAATTCTGACTCAAAAAATAAGCAATGGAGGAAGACAACAGAAGTTGACCTTTGGCCTCCATATATAGGTACACACATGTGTACACACAGAGCAGATAACTGAACCTCTAAATAGCGAAACTAGAAAATACAGTGGACTGTTACCTGTAATATAAAGTCACACTAGACTCTGAATCAGCAGTGAACATTTTTAAATTATCTTTCTAAATAGAAGGGTTGGTTTTTTTTTCTTGTTTTTTTTTTTGGTCTTTTTGAGACAGGGTCTCCTTGTAGCCCCAGCTGTCCTGGAACTCACTATGTAGACCAGGCTGGCCTTCAACTCACAGAGATCCACCTGCCTCTGCCTCCCAAGTGCTGGGATTAAAGGTGTGCACCACCACGCCTGACACTGTAGTAGAAGGGTTTTTTAACTTATTTATTTTTATGTGTTTTGCTACCACCTGCATGCAATGCCGACAGAAGCCAAAAAAGGGCATCTGATCCCCTGGAACTGGAGTTATGAACTGAAATTGGGTCCTCTGCAAGAGCAGTAAAGTGCTCTCAAGTGCTGAGCCACCCCTCCGGCCCCATATATTTTAAATAAATAGAATGATCTTGTCTTGGCATAAAACAGGTAATTTATCTTTCAGCAGATGGTCAAGATTAGAACTGTGCTTATAAATATATCCTTATGAAGAATAAACCTACTGCACAGCTTTGTCTACATCACCACTCTAACAAACTTGGTTTAGAGAAGGAAAAGACTTACCAGGAGTTTGGACCACAGCTTGCAAGTTCTTTTCTTGAAGTTGTTGAATTTTTTCATTCTTAGCCTTGCTTTCCTTCTCCAAAAGTTTGAGCTTATGAATATACTGGTTATTTAGAAATCTCAGATCAGCTGTTTCACGTGCAGACCTCTTCAATGTAGCCTTCACCTCTTAAAATGAGAAAGATAAAAATACAATTTTAAAGATCAAGTAATCTATGAAGTTCCTGAATTTTATAAAATACAAAAAGTTAATTCACACCAATCTGAAAGGGTCCACCTGATTCTTACAAATATTCTGTATGAAGTCAAATACACGTTTTACCATTAACAAGTCTGCAAATAACTCACTAAAGCTACTGTTGTTATTGTAGATACCTGATGTGCACTACAACTTTGATCCAGTAAGTTAGATATAAAGTCAAAGAATTAAGAATTCTAGATACTAGATCGAGTTTTCTACTGAACATAGAATTTATAGTAAGATGACTACCTAGTACCGTTGAAGTTCCATCTACTTTCTGGCTCAAACACTATTTAACAAAGTGATACATGTTTTTCACCTACTCACTACTTTTTATTTTCAATAAAGGAAAAACAAAAGTTGTTTCAAGAATATTTCTTCAGTTCTACCATTTAATAGCCTCTATGCCAATTTTAAAATCCATACATAGTGAGGACTAACATCGCTATGAAATACAATTTATTTTCACTCTCAAGAATTCATCACTAAACCCTACTGTATTTAGAGAACTGTTAGTAGGACTAGCATTTTTCTATTAAGAATTTCAAAAACAGACATTAGCCTTTTCTACTTAAGCAAAGAGGGTGATGATCTTGCATTTTAAAATCAAACTTCCGGCCAGGCGTGGCAGGGCTCACCTTTAATCCCAGCACTTGGAAGGCAGAAGCAAGCAGATCTCTGTGAGTTCAAGGTCAGCCTGGTCTACATAACAAGTTCCAGGCCAGCTGAGGCTCAAAAAGACCAAAAAAAAAAAGAAATCACCAAACTTTCATTTACCTTTGATGTGTTGCTCTGAGTATTCTCTCAGCTTCATTAACTCCAGATATAACTCATTATTCTCCTTACCGAGTCTTGCATTTTCAAGTTTATAAGGTTCCAAAACAAAATCAAAATTGGCACTTTCTTTTTCAGCCTTTACAGAGGATAATTTTGTTTGTCGAAGGCTTTCTGTTGTATGAACCAAATCACTAAAATTAAAGAACGGAAAATACAAACACAAAGAAACAGTCTATCAGTTCTCTAATAATTTAAGATCCGTTTCTAATAACAAAACATACTTTTAAAAAGGCTTAAAAGATATCTTAATTTTAAATGATATCAAATTTACAAAAAGAATGAACACTAGGTTCTTTCAAGATAATAGGTCCTTAGAAATTTCTCCAGAAAGTCTAATTATAAATTATAATTATAAAATACATTCACTAGGTCTGTGAAACCTGTGAATCTATTTGTTCACTGAGCAAATTTTTGATTGTCTGCTATATGCTAAGCTCCAGTAATACAACAAATATGAATCAATCAGTTTCTTATCTCTAAGAACACAGACCAGAGGATAAATATTTAATGAGGAAGAAACAAAAAAAAAATCCTTACTATTGTAGAATATATTCTATGTACAAGCTGTCCAAAAGATACGGTAAATTCAACAACAAATATTTCGGTGCTTGTATATTACTCTATGACCAATCTGCCATAGGTATAACAGCCGAAGTATCAGTCTTTGGTCTTACAGAGTTTGCAATGAAAGGAAGACAAAAACAAGCTGGCAGTAAGGATGCAGAGTTAGAATAAACTGTAACAATGTATCATTCCTATACAACATGTAAAGGTAGAAGCTAAGGCAGGAGGGCAAGAAACAGAAAGGAAAAAGGAACTGGACAGATAGAGCACAAACAAGTTTAGGGAGCTTCACGTGAGTCAACACATGGGAAAAGCAGGCCAGGTTATGAAAGGTTTGTGAGTGCATATTAAAGGCCCCTAAAATACCTTTATCCACTCTCTGCTCTCTGTTATCATCATTTGTAGTCCTACTAAAAATAATCTTAAACATTTCCCTGCTCCAATCTCAAGCCACTCCACTATAGCTCTTATAGAAAGTAGGGGTGTGAAATCACAAAGAGTTTCCTAGCTAAGGTAGGTAGCATGTAATAGTAATAACAACATATTGGAGAAACTTCTAGAAAAAGAGTAACTCAAGACCAGCTTGGCAGGCAAAGAACTTAGGAGAAAAGTTGGGCTGGTGGTGCAGCTTGATGATAGAGTACTTGCCTACTGTACTCAAGTCCACAACTGTAACTATATTCAGGGAAAACTCTCAGAAATGGTGACTCAGAGCAGCATAGTAGGCATGGCGATCCCTAGAATCCTGCACTGTGAAGGCGCTGTGTTGAGGACAAGGATTAGGACTGAAGGATAGGCATGCTTCAGATGACTTAAGGACTTCTCCAAAGGTCACCCACATCTTTACTGAAGAGGGAAAGTTAATCACAACTCAGTAAGTGGATTAAGGATTCTCTATGTTTACAACTCTAATTTTATCTTTACCTGAAAAGTTTTTCCACCAAAGGCAAACACTCCACTGTAAGAGTCTGGCGGTAGCCCAACTGGTCTAATCTTTTTCTAATATTAATATACTTTCTTTCTGCAGCTGTAGTCATCTTGTCTTCTAAAACCAGACTTATTCACTTTCAAAAAGTAAAGTCCTAAAAGAAAGGATGAAAACATCATTATCATAGCCTGTAATGTTGTTTCATAGGAAAAAAAAAAAACCAAAAATAGTATGAAAAGATTATTTTTGTTTCTTTTCAGGTAGGCAGTATTCTGTAATAGTCACACTGATTTAAATCCAATGTTTATGATCTCTATATTGTTATATTAGAATATGTATCTCTTCATAAACCTAAATGTAAAAGTTAAAACAATGAAGACTGGAGAAGAAACAAGCTAAGATTTTCCAGAAGCAGGCAAAGGTTTCTCAGAGGAAACTCTTAACTGTCTTATGGTACTGGGAATTGAAACCAGTGAACTGCTCATGTAGGCAAATTACTCTACCACTGAGGTATGTCCCCAGCCCTATTAGGGAGTTCCTTTAAAAGCAGTAGACAGAAAAGAAAAACTTAACAATAGCACTTCATCAAAATGGAAAACATCAACTCATCAAAATACTCCATTAAAGAAAATGAAAAGGCACAGCTAGGAGGTGGCTCACTGATGGTCCCTGCCTAGCATGTATGAAGTCCTGGGTTAGATCTCCAGTACCACCAAGAGAAACAAACAAACAAGAATGAATAAAACAAAACAAAGAGTGCTAGAAAATATTGACAACAGGCACATACCTATAACTCTAGCAGCGACAAGAGGCTGCCCTAATTTGAGACCAGCCTGTCTACATGGCATGTCCCAGGCTAGCCCCAGATACATAAAATGACCCTGTTTCAAACCATACCCCCAAGAACAATTAGGATAAAACTAAAATTCAGTTGTACAAAAAACTTGTACCTTGCAAAAGACATCTCAAGAGAAATATATGAAGAGGTGTTTAACATTAGTCACCAGGGAAATACAAATTAAAAATCACACTGAGGTGTAACTTTGCCCATACCAGAATGACTACAATTAAAAGGACTGACACTACCCAATGGGCACATAGTCACAGCAAATGACACTCACATATGGTTGAGAGTATAAAATCACTGTGGAAAAACCTGGAAGTTTCTTACAAAGGTTAAGTAAACACACTTCTAGCCTATAATCTGAAATTCTATTTCTAGATATTTACAAAAGAAAATGAACATAAATATCCACAAGAAGACTACAAAAAAGTGTTTATAGCAGCTTTATTTATAATAGCCCCAAACTGGAAACAACCTAAAGCAAAGGGGATAAACAAGCTATCTTCTATTTATACAGTGTAATAGGTTTCAGGTAAAAGGCCAGGAACTACTGATACATATCAACAAGGATGAATCTCAAAAATACTATTTGAGCAAAAGCAGCCAGACACATATACTGACTGCATTCGTATCAAGTTCAGAAACCAGTAAAATTAAACTACGGGGATAGAAATTAGCACAACAGTTGTTGGGGAGGTGAAGATTGACAGGAAGGGATAAGAGCTTTCTACAGTGATGAAAATATTGATTGGGCTAGTAGTTACACAGCTGTAGACATTTATGGAAAGATCCAAGCATTTTACCATGTAAATTTCACTTTCATTTTTGTTATTTTGAGACAAGTTCTCTTTATAAAGTCCAGGCTGGCCTAGAATTCACTTTATAGATCAAGTGACCTAAAACTTGCTGTGATCCTCCTGCCTCTGCCTCCTGGGTTCTAAGATTACAGATGTGTAGCACCATGTCCAACTTTAATTCAAGTAACACACATATAAGTACCTCTGTGTATGTTTTTATACTTTTCTTTTTCGTTTGCTGTGCTGGGGATTGAACCCAGAGCCTCCAGTATGCTAGACAAGCACATTACAACTGAGCTACCGCTCCAGCCCCTTTATATTTGTTTTTTTTAAATACTTAGGACAATTTTCTCTATCAATTTATACTAAAATTGAGTTATATAAAGATCACTTCTTCAGAAACCTCTTTTCTAACTTTTGCCAACTAAAATGTAGTCACAGGTTCATATTTCTGAACCAAATAAAAACTGTTCTTCACTAATAAAATATAAGTGTCTATAAATTCAGGCAAAATCTGATGCCCACAAGCACCCTGTATGGAATAAAATGCTAGAGCAAGGTCTGGTGGTATACTTTATCCCAGAATTCAGGAGGGAGAGGCAGGTGGATCTCTGAGAGATCAAGACCAGCCTGGTCTACAAAGCGAGTTCCAGGCCAGATGAGGCTACAAGGGAGACCCTGTCTCAAAAAACAAAAGAACAGAAAAGAATCAATGGCACCGTTCCTATTTAAGCATAAAGAAAGGCTGTGCTTAAACCCGGCGTGGTGGCACACGCCTTTGATCCCAGCACTTGGGAAGCAGAGGCAGGCAGATCTCTTAGTTTGAGGCCAGCCTGGTCTACATAGCTGTAGCTAGGGCTACAGGGAAACCCTGTCTCAACAACAACCCCTACCCACCAAAAAGGAAAGGCTGTCGAAGAGAGTAACTTCCTAAACCACAGGGCCACTTTTTAATTAGTACCTCTTGTTGATGACTCCCTTCTCCAAATCTAGCCTCTTTGAGGGGCTTCCCCTAGGACTTTCTAGTTCCTTCCATAGACAGCCTTAACGGCAGTGTGTTTTTAATAAACTGTGGTCATAAGAAATACAGCTGACAAGTTGGCCTAGCAAACACCTCTTTGACAGCTACCAAATCTGGGTTCTCCGAAATGATGGCTCTTTATCCTTCAAGGTGGGAGGTGAAAAAGAGGGAATGAGAATACAAATCCAAAACTCATGGACAGCGCCAGAACGGATTAAAGTCCTCCCAAGAACAAAAACATGAACATAGGTCCTCCCCGTCCATCGGCTTGTCTTCCTCCATCCACAGTCCGGAGGGAAACCTGGTTATGAGCAAAACTTTTTACTAAAAAAGCAAAACTTTTTACCTCGACAACAGAAGAGGTTAGGTTCGGAGACTCCCACCAGGTTAGAATACGGCTGTGTACTTAACCCTGGAGGGTGGATGACTTAAAGCTGCCGCGTCTTACTTTTCCAGGAACATCCCAGGTCTGAAAGCGGAGGGTTTGATAGCAAGCAGCCAGACAGTTTGCGGGCTGGGTTGGAACCCTTCCTCCCCAGCGGAAGGTGTTTCCACCCAGCGGCCTCGGTTCACAACGTTAAATCGATCCACCAACGCAGGGGGTCGGCGGAGTCCACACCGCGGTCCCCGGGCCCGCAGCCGACCACTTCCTCCCGGCACCGCCCGCGCCTCCCGTGGGGCCCGCCCGAGGCTTCCCCGCGGCCGTCCGAGGCCTCTCCGCGGCGCGCCTCACCGCAGCTCCCGCCGCCGCTCCCGCCTGCGACGCATCGCCCTAGGGGCTCGCCGTCCTCTTTGGCTCCTTCCACTCCGGCCACCCGAGCCGGCGCTAGCGCAGTTTGAAAATGGCGCGGAGAGACGATCTCTGCCCACACCGGGGAAGCGCCGCGGTTGCCCCGGTTACGGGAACGGAGGCGGGTGGCTGAGTGCGCGTCTGGTAGTAATGGCGGCGCTGGGCTTCGGTGCCCGGAAACGCAACAGCCTGGCCTGGGCGAGGCCACAGCGCTCCCTGGCGGAAGCCGGAGCCCTGCACAGCGTCCCCTGGCGGAAGCACGAGCCTGCACGTGCCCCCTGCCACAAACCCAGAGCTGTACAGTGTCTGAGGGATAGTGTCGCCAGCTGTGTGGTGCTGGGTGAAACCATGCCCTGTCCTGGCAGTGAATTAGCCTTTATGATGGACTCCGCTTTACCCGCAGTACCAGGCACTGATACCACTGTCTTTGCAGATTTTCCTGGCTGCTCTCTGATACAGTTATGACTCCATAACCATATCCCCCTAAGACTTCCAGATTAGACTCCACCAACCAAACAAACGTGTTTGTGTCCCTCCCTGCCACCTCCAATCGTGAATCCCTTGAGTCAAACATGTTTTCGTTCAGCTTTGTTTCTCTAGGATCTACCACAAAAAGTATTCGTAAACACTAAATTGAAATAAATTAGGTATAGAGAGAGCTTGCTCACAGATGGAAAGCCCATGGTCAGATCCTTGAAGTCCATTTCTCCCCTGAAAACTTTCTAGATGGTTAGAAGCTGATTTCTTTTTCTGTTTATCCTTCTTCCTTCCAAGGAGCCTTTACTCTGAAAATGTAACTTCTCATCACCTATCATGTAAATGTGTGGTGAGATGTGGATCTCTGTTGCATTATGTATACGTTTCAAATACAATTAAGATTAAAGGCATTAAAATAGAGGGGTTGTCCTAGATAACGCAGGTGGTCTTGACATATTTGTATGAATCGTAAAAAGCAGAGGACTATGAGAGAGTTGACACCAAGAACCCGCCAATTTGATTTGCTTGCTTGAAAGTGAAAGGACCAATATACTGAGAGACCCCAGGTTAACAGACATCAACTGTCAACTGCACCTTGCCCCTTGGCTGTTAGTTGAATGTGAGTAAATGGTGGTATGGTGATTTCTATCACGTATTGTAATAAATTGAAGTTGTTTCCTCTTCATAATTTATATTTTGAAACTATGATTGGGATCACTCCTTTAGTTACTTAAGGAGTGATTATATTATGGGCTGGGGCCATAATCCATTATGAATAATGTCCTTATAAAAAGTACACTATGTGGTAACCAAGAGACACAAAGAGGGGAGGATGGTGTGAAGACACAGGGAGAAAGCTGCCTACAAGGAATGCCAAAGATTGCCGATGAATCACAGGAGAGAGGTGTGGAACTTGCTCTTCACAGTCCTCAGAGGGAGCCAACCCTGAAGGCTTCTTGACCTCAGAGTTTGAGCTTCCAGAACTTTAAGGCAATACATTTCTGTTGTTTCAGCCAGGAAGCTTGTACTACTTTGTTAAGGCAACCTTTTAAACCAATACGTGTATATTTGAGATCTAATTCATGGCATAGAATAAATGCCACACAAATTCAGAAATGAAAAAAGTCCTCTGAGAATTAGGGTAACTTCTCAAGGTTTAATGGAGCAGATGGGACTTGCATTTGGACCTTGAAACGACTAGAAGTTGGTGACATAATGAAGAAAAGAGATTGGGGAAAGGAGGGGAGGAGATAACAAGAAAGAGATAAACATTTCCTTCAAAAATAAATGTAATAAATTGGGCATGATGGCACACCCCTTTAATCCCAGCACTGGGGAGGCAGAGGCAGATGGATCTCTGTAAGACTGAGGCCAGCCTGGTCTACATAGCAAGTTCCAGGCCAACTGGGGCTACAGGGAGACCCTGTCTCAAAAAACAAACAAACAAAAAAGTAACAATCTGAAGGGAGTAAAACAGGCTGAGGGCCATAAATATCAGCAAGGCTAGGTTATGAAAGGATTCACCAAATGTTAAAGTTCAGAGTTTAATTTTTATCCAATATGGACCTGGAAACTATTGAATGCTTTTAAACTGAAAAAAAAAAATCACTTGATGAAATTAATTGGGGAAAATTGATCTGGATTGTAGAAGATAGGTTGCTGAATAGTGACTGGTGCAGAAGACCATGTTGCCTAGAACAAGAATCAGATGGATTTCTTGATAGGATGATAAAAGGCCTGAGGGAGAAATATTATAAAAGAATGGATAGAGCTTAGTGAGGGATCAGACTTCCTGAGTGAAGGAGTGGAAGGAATCCAGACCAATGTCCAGTATTAAATTTCAGAAACCGAAGACCCACAAATGGAATAACCAGCAAGCCACCTTGGTATGTGTTGGGGCTGGAAAGGAATGGGGACAAAGGCAAGAGTGGGCATTGATGTAAGGTGCTATTGCAGGAATGTTTAGGAAACAGCTGGGCATAGGTAAGTAATGTGGATTTGGATGTTGTTATGGCTACATAGTCACTGACCTCCCTGGATCTCCCATTAGACCACAAGCTCCTTGTGAGACAAAGACTAATATGTTGTTCTTTGTAAGCATAACACAAGCAATGCCTCTTCTGACTCCCTCACTGATATTCTCTCCAGCATCATAGTTGCCTCTCCAGCAAAGTAACCCAGAAATGATGTTAAAACAGCAATGCTCTACCAGCTTTTATTTAAGCAAGTCCTTTTATTTAATCAGTAGGGATTCTATTTCCCTATTGCCAAAGGTGTATGGTTTGGCTGACAACCTTATTATTACTTTCAGATAGGGATCATAACCATGGTATTTCCAATCTGTCTGGAGCCTGGTGACAGAGTCTTTGTAGAGACCTGGTCACAAAAGATGTTTCAGGCATGAAAATAATCGGATGTTATGAGAAGTTGTTTCACAGGAGACACTGGGAAATTATTCTCAAGAAAGGGTCACTTTTAAAGAGCACAGTGATGAAGCATCTCCATGATGTGGGAATTTCATTATGTGTTTACAAATAAATCAGACATGTTCAAAATGCTGGTGGTGCAAGAAATGACAAACTTTCCGTTACCTTTTGACCCTAGAAGGAATAGAGGTAAGAATGGAAGCACAGAGGAATGAGAGACTTGATAAACATTGCTATATTCTAAAAAAGAACAAACCACCAAGCCTTCAACGTGTCAAAAATTTCATGTCAAAAGACAAAGAACAAGGTAAAAAAATTTACAATTAATATCATAGACCTAAAATACAGCATCTCCAAACTCATAGTAAAATGACTGACAGTAGAATATAGTAATAAAATCATTTTAATATAGACCAAAGTATGAAAATATAATTTGTCAAATGTCTGTTCATTGTGTCAAGAGACTCAGATCCTGAAAATGAGAGGCATGCATGTTATTCACTTTTATCACTGTGACAGATTCTTGAGAGAAACAGTTTAAAGGAGGGAGGATTTATTTGACTTAGTTTCAGAAGTTTTAGCCTGTGGTTAACAGGCTCCATTGCTGTGAGCCTCAGGTGGGGCAGACTATGATGCATGTGAGAATGTGGGCAGAGGAGGTTGCTCACCTTACGGCAGCCAGAAAGCGGACAAAAACAGATGAATGAGCCTGGACAAGATACAGCCCCCAAGAACACACACCCAGGGAAGCCGCATTGTGAAAGGTTTCTACCATGTCTCAATAATGCCATCACATTATGAATCCATCAAGGGATAAATTCATTAATTAGATCAGTGCCTTTATAATCACTTATCAAAAGCAGTCACCTGGCAACTAGGCCTTCAACGCATGAATTTTTGAGGGGACACTTCGTAAATAAGAGCATTCAAATAAAAAATGAGATATGAAAGATGAGTAGCCAAATGACAGGAAGATGGATAAAAACAATATTCTAAGATATGAATAAGCAATAATTGTAGTGTATTGAGTGCTTACAAGGTTCTATTTGAGTACTGGTTTACATAGCTGCATACTTAACAAGTACCATTTCATTTAGTTACCTAAGAAGAAGGTAATATTGAAATCCCCACTTTATATTCAGGATTCAGTAACTTAAATAAATCCCAGCACCTTAACTCGAACTCTGAGGATTAAAACTCTGTGAATTAGGCTGACCATCAAGAAAGGCAACTATGTAGTTCAGTGCCCCAAATAAACTGTTCAGACAAGGATCAATTAAAGTTTGTGGGTATATAATTACCAAAGTCCTCAAAGATCCCTTAGACCAACCTTCTAAACAAGGCTTAACAGACTTCCTTTCCAAAAGATGTCTATGATAGCTACCACAGAAGGTATCCATGACAACTGAACTCTGCTTTTCAAAGCAACCTCATTGCTTTGCTGAACATCTTTGGTAGAGAGTTTCCTTTGTGAAGCTGAAGTTTGTCTCCCACTAAGCATGTGTCATTTATTCTAAACAATCACAAGAAAGTGAGCTGTTTCCCTCATGCACGAGATGATCCTTTAAAATAATATCCCAACCCTTAGCTTTTGCTCATGTGACATAGTCTCTAATGCTATTATTTATCTGGTTACATCCTCTGGGATAAAGCTATCCCAGTTTCTAAGGGATTTTTTTTTGTTTTTGTTGTTTTGTTTTTGTTTTACTAAAAAGCATCCCTGGAAATGATTGCATGGGGTTTGAGATGACTACCAGGATATATGTATTTCCTTTCATACATATACACAGCACCCGCCATGCCCATCAACAGTTAAGTATCACGTTATCCTTTTTAACACTGAGCTATGCTCTCCAATGAACACTATGCACAGTCCTCTTTCTATGGCTTATAGGCTTTAAATATCTATATTTCTTTACATTATCTTCAATATAGGGTTTTTTTTTCACAGCCTAGTTGTGCATGACCCAAGGACCTATGGTGCTGAACACTCATGGTCACCAAAGATCAACCTGGGACAGTGGCTCTAAGTTTCTTGTCCATACCAATAAAGATCAAAGAAGTGGACTCTTACGGGCATATGCAAAGCAGAAGCAAGTTTTATTAAGAAAAAGTTACAGGAAAGTGAGAAATTGAAGAAAAATTAGAAATTAAGAAAAATGTGAAAGAAACTCCTAAGAGTAGAAGGGGTTTCCAAGAGAGGAAAAAGGTGTTGAACTTCCGTCTGGGATTTTTATAGGATTGTGCAGAAACCAGTCAAAAG